GAATTGCAAATATTTATACTACAATTCGCAGCTCTGTTATGCAACATTTTTCAAACTTCATCTCCATGAAATGCCTTTCCCTTAGAACCTCTCAAGCAATTCTGTGAAACACTATAGGAAACTAGATGTCTCATACTTCGGAGAATGGAATGCTAACAGAGAATTTCAATTCCTTGGGAGTTAGTGTCATTTAATTTACTAACTCTCTTTCCATGTGGGCCAGGCAGGGTGCCAGGTGCTGTAACTACATTTTCTGGCACAGTCATTGCAACGCAGATGTTAGGAATTCCTTTTTACTGTTGGGAAAACTGCTGCTCAGAGTGCTCAAGTTAGTGGCTAAATGTCCTGCCATTCTTTACAGGACCAGAATCTGAACCTAGGCCTCTTTGACTCCAAAACATAAACCATCATAACCCAGAACACCAGTACCATTACGATGGAGTGTGGGCATTGCAGCCCACCTAGCACTTTTCTTGCTTTTACCAAACCAATTCATCCCCTTGCACCCTTTTTTATTTTTGTTTTGTTTTGTTTTTTGAGACAGGGTCTCTCTCTATAGCCCAGGTTATGTGGCTGAGGCTGACCTCAAACTGACAGCAGTCCCCCTCCCTCAGGCTCCTAGTGCTGGAATTACAGGGGTGCACCACCCTGCCCTGCATTCCTTGTACTCTTAAACCTATGTCCTCCTCCAGGGTTGGGTTTCTATTTTTTTGCATTGAGTCCAAGGTCCCTTGCTCCATCTCCTGCAGGACATAGAATGGATATTTGAGTTGCACTCACATAAAACCATGTGCATGGCCAGATATGATGTTGAGGGGCCCTGGCCAGAAAGCTCTGTTGAACCACCCATCTACTGCTTTCTCTTTTCTTGAAATTTTCCTCCTGCCCTTTGCTCCCTGATGCCACAGTATCTGCTGTATTCAGTGGCACTTGGAAGCACAGATCTATACCAGCATTTCTGCCAGGACATCCATAAAGTACCTACATCCCATGTGGCCACAGTGGTCAACAACTGGTGGTGAGTTTGGCTCTGCAAAGGGCCAAAGGTGTGCAAAGCTGCCAGTTCAGTCTTGCTGGAGTCTTCTACCTAGGAGCTCAAGGGAAATTTCTGTACTTACTAGAAATAGTAAAGGCAAATCTTTCAGGAAAAGATTTGAGATAGAGTTTTCTCTCCCACAATTCCCCTCTTCCTTTCATGAGACAACTGAGAAAGACAGTAATGATTAATCATTCATGTTAATTTCTTACCAATGTGGATGGAGAAAGATTCGTCTTTTTCTGTGCTTAATCAGAAACTCAAGTGATCTCAGACTGAACTCACTGTTCTTCCTCTTGATGGATACTTTCTCTGGGCCTTGTCTCCAGCATAAATTTATCCCTTTCTTGGCTCCCAGGCTTTCTCCATCTGGAATCAATGACAGTGCAACTTCTTTAGGAGCCCCTGATCTTTTCCCTCCCCATATGCCTACTGCCCTGGCCAGGCCTCCTTATGACAACCCTCACTCCTCTGCCGAATGTTACTTGGGCCCCCAGCAGGGCCAGGCCTTTGAGATGTCCCTGTGCATAAGTCAGTAACAAGTGACTGAGATTTTTAGAAGCAGCCCTGAACTAGACACACAGCTGAGCCTCATGCTAGGCAAAGGGGCTTCGAGCAGCAAAGCAATAATATAGGCAACAAAAGGAAGGACAATTCTGTCTAGATTGTGAGCAAAGATACTTTTTGCTCTACTTGGCATCAAATGCTGGTACAGGAATCATCTGAAGACTCATTCAATAACATATCTGACAGATGTTGCTGGCTGAGGGCTGAAACTCTATCTGAACTGGTCAATTGCACATCATCATGTGCAATTGTCTTGTGATGTGACATTTGTGTTCCAAGGATTCTAAGGGAGAATGAGCCAGGCAGATTCTCTACCCATGATGAGAAGCAAGACTCAGAAATCCCATGGCATTTCTGCTTGATTCTTCTCATTAGAGCAAGTAATTAAGGGTGAGAACATATACGCTGCCTCCTGAGAGAGTGTGGCCATCACACAGCATGAAGGGCATGTGGATGGGAGATACTGGTATGACCATCTTTGTTAGAGGTGACTTGTCTCACCAGGGTATGGAGTCAAGGGGCAGGCAGGTAGGGTGTAGCTCTGTAGCATCAAGGATGTCACACCAACAATGTTGGATGTTGTCGTTAGGAATTGGGAGCTGGTAAGAGACATTGATTTGGGTATGATCTGTTCATGTAACCCTTTGAAAAATCTCTGGGGTGGTTTGATGGACTATTTGGAGCAGGCAGACGAGGGACCTATGAGAGATAGTCGCAGTAATCCAAGGGAGAAATGGTAAGAGCCAAGTCAAGCTATGAACTTGGAGATGAAAATGGGGGTTGAATATGAAAGAAACCAGAAATAAGTTACAGGATCTGGCAGTACAGTAATGATGGGGTTGTGGAGAGGGAATCTAGAATGATTGAAGGTGATAAGGAATGAAACAAGAAGAGAAGGGGGTCTATGAGCGAAGATAGTGAGCCCCATTTAAGAAGTGAGTAGTCACAGGGGTCTGACGATGCTCAGGTGGACATGGCCAGCAGACGGTGGGGCTGTCCTGAGCATGGAGCTCTGGGAAATGCTCTGGAAGAGAAACTGAGATTTGGCTACCATTATCCTATGGGCAAATGGAATTACTCATAAGCACGGCCAGAGAAGAAATCAATAAGAGTTTTGGAGGGATTAGCCTTTCAGGGTCAGTCAGAGAAAGAAAATCACCAAGATGTTTGAGATCAAATTGCCTCTTTCCCAAGTCCGACCTAACTCAGAAAATAATCTGAGCTTGAGTGTTTTCAGTGTCCTGTGTCCAGGAAAAGTAATAAGATATTGACAAACACCATCACCATCACCATCACCACTGTCATCATCACCACCATCGCCTTCACGATCTCCATCACCGTCACCAACACTTTTACCTTCACCTCACCATCACCTTCACTACCCTCACCATCACTGCCATCATCTTCCCCAGCACCACAGGATCATCATTTTCTTCACCATCACCTCACCAGCACCTTGCCCATCACCTTAACCTGCAGCTTCCCATCGCTATCACATGTTCCTTTCCCCAAAGCCTGTTCCAAGGCTCTCTTCCTCCCTTCTGCCTATAATGACAGCTCCTATAAATTAGAAGAAGGCTATATTTGGTTTGCTTTTCCCTTCTAATGCTCCATGGATTACCCCCTGTGCATAGATGCTCAAGGCCAGAACATGTCCTCTAGTTCAGTGGTTGTAACCTGCTTTGCCCACCAGACCCTGCTGGGGGAATTTTCCTAAAGGAATTTGCTCTCATCAGTTTTGATTCAGTGGCTCTTGGATTGGGCCTAGACTCTATTTCAAAGATACCTCTGTGTCCTCCAGTCAGGCAATTTTGACTCAAAACTGAGTTAAGATCCACTGATTTAGACCTCACCACTGGGGAAACCAAGAACCCAGGAGAGGAGAACTGATTCTGTGCATCTCAAATGACTGATACTTAAATTCCAGAAACGCCTATTAAGATGCTAGGCACTCGGATTCCCCTGTTCTGGACTTCAATTTTACTTTTTGTGGAGAAAAAAATGAGACAAGGTGATTTTCAACAACACCTTTCTTATAAAATAAAGGCAAATGTAAAGTATGAGGTGAATTATAGTGATGCTACCTCTGCCTCCAGAGAGGTGGGCTTCCTCCTGCCACTGCTGAGGGGTAAGGTGGCTGCAGGGGCCAGAGGTAGAGGTCTGGAGAGGCACCTAGTTTCCTGATAGCAATGACCTTTTCAGATTTAGAGGCTGTGAGTAGGTGTGCATGGTCAGGCAGTGAATTATGGGCTTTGTCAAAAGTCCCAGGCTGGCCTCACTATGTCTGGCTGTGCCTTCACAGATGGGAAACTGCACAGCCTGCAGCAGGGACCTGTACAGAGAGGTAGGCTCAGCTTCAGAAGGAAATGGAAATGAAAGCAGAGCTCCAGCTGCTCTTCTGAGATGCAGACTTTCAATTAAGGGAAGAACTTTGGCAGACTATGAAATGTAATGCCACCCCACCTTTCCATGCAGGAAAAGTGACCCAGAAGGGCACCTTCTAGGGACTGCTTGAGAATGTGGGGCTTCTGGCTCAGCACCTGTTCAGGGCTTTCCAACAGTTCAGAATCTGGGAGGGTACAGAGCTCAGCCTAGTGCTCACCAAAGATGCCATCAAGTCCTGCCCCTCCTCTGCTGGACATATGTCTGTGCTGGACACATGTCTGTGCTGTCAATCATGGAACTCACATTGACTCAGAACTCACAGAGCTGGTCACATGGGCAAGGTGGTACATAGTGAGTCCCCTCCCCAAGGCCTGGACCACGCCTCCAGAGGTGAATAAGTCAAATCGCAGATCCCCTGGTGAGAGGCCAGATATCCCTGATAACAGGTGGTAACAAGCTTGGTGAGGGTGTGAATGGAGAAACTTACTCAAACCAAGTTGTCTGGGGACAACATCACAGTGCCTTGTTGGAGATGAAAGAATAGAGTCTTGAAGGTCAGAAGAAGTGGAGCAATGTGACTTAGGACTTGTTCATGCTTCTGGAAGTAGTTCAAATTGAATGAGAAGTAGCCTACAACCTGCTAAGAGCACGGGAAGAAGGCGACCAGAAGCCCAAAGGGCATTGTGATGCTACCAGAGAGCAGTCCAATCTGGAACATGCCGTAGATGCTTGGCTGATGTCGGGCCTTTGCCCTGGGAATGTCTTTCCCCGTAGTTTTACTGAGCTATTTACAATAACTCTGATGAGATGCAATAAAGGTAGGAGTGGCTAATATTCCCATCTCCAGCAGGGTAAGCAGTGGTGTAGCAGTGATAGCATTTCACCCTCTGACTACCTTATAAGGTAAATGTTCCTATGTGACAGATGAGAAGATGAAGTCCCAGAATGGAAGGCTTGGTGGGGCCAGGGCACACTGTGCAAAAGCCTCACGACACATTCTGTGTTTCCTCAGGTATTTGTGCTCTGCCATGGCCTCCTGCAACTCTCCCAGCTCCTGTACAGCGCCTACTTCAAGAGCAGCCTCACCACCATTGAGAAGCGCTTTGGGCTCTCCAGTTCTTCCTCAGGCCTCATTTCCAGCTTGAACGAGGTAAGAGGTTGTCCTGGGCCACTGTCTCCATTTATGTAGGATCCTGACCACAGTACAGAAGGGAACCGGGTACAAGCCGGACATGCACCTGGAGGGCAGATTGCTGTCTACATCAAGAAACACAGTGCACTCTTAATATTAGCCTTTGGGTTTGATAGTACATGGCACATATCCTCATTCACGACAGAGAGCAAGGAAATAAATCTCTGACTTTTGTGTCATCACGGTGCTATCCCATGCATTGCTAACCAAATATCACCTCCCAGGAGTTCTCTCTCCTCCCGAGTCCAGGCATGGCCTCCTAATCTTTCCCATCTCAGTGCTCCAGGGCTCTCTACTAATGAAAATCAGAGCTGGCATGGAAGGTATCCACTCTTCCAGCTCAGCCCAGATAATAGCCAAAGCCGTGACTTCCCACAGTTAGATTTTCATCCATAGTGTCCCATGCTTAGAACAAAACCATGAGTCTAGCAATAATTGAATGTTTTCCAGGGGCAAGGAGTCACCAGCTGGGACATATTGTGGGTCTATTTAAGATAGAAAGTTGATTAGGCAAATAAGAGGCATGATACTTCCTCAAGGCTATGGTTCAATCAAAATGAAAACAACCATTAAATCTCTTTCCCAAGCTCAGATAAATTTTCAAGAATCTAACCTTTTCAAGATCATGCCTGTGGACACTATTTGAGGCAAATACATCAGAGAATTCATTTCACTGACCCAACAGTTGTGTGTGTGTGTGTGTGTGTGTGTGTGTGTGTGTGTGTGAATACGGGTGTCTGGGTTTTTATGTATAACTATGTGTCTATGTATATATTTGTGTGTGAATATATGTCTCTGGGTATATGTACGTATACCTACCCGTGGATTTTTGTGTCTCTGCCTGTATGTTTGTTTTTCTGCCTTAACGTAAATTTGTGTGTCTCTCATGTTATGTGTTTGTCTGTATCTTTGTATTTCAGTATGCCTATGTGTGTGCTACTTATGTGCCTATGTGTGCTTATCTGTGGCTACATATGTGTCTATGTATATCTATATGTGTGTCTGAGTATTTACGTTTGTCTGTGTATTTGTATGTGTCATAGTTGTATGTGTGCATAACCCCACATCTGTGGGTGTCGTAGGGTTTATGTGTGACCATGTGTGTACCTGCCTACCTTTGTATTTGTGTGTGTCTGTGTATATATATGAATGTTTAAGGATTTATGTGTATCTGTGTTTGACTGTGTGTGTGTGCATGTGTGTGCATGCCCTGAAAGTGTAAGTAGAATGCAGAGGACAGTAAGGCCATGGGGACATGGAACCTGCAGTGAGTTTGAGCAGAGAACAGAACGGTCAATCTGAAAAAGAGGTCACTGTCAGAAAGCCTCCTGGGCCCACAGATAAGTCCTTTATGTCTGCAGATAGCTACTTACTTCCCTTGGGCTGGGCTGGAAGGTGGGGCAGGTTTCTGATGACAGAAGGAAAGCTGAGGCTGGGGATTATGGCTGATGACGAGGTTCTAGTACAAGGGTAGGGGAGCACTGCTGGGAGCCACTAACAACCAGGCAGCATCTTCCCACTTCGGTCTTCCTGAGCAGACCAGCCAGTTCTGTCCAGGTCTCCTCTGCAGGTCTCACTCCACCCCTCTGCTCACTCTGTCTCTCTGCAGATCAGCAATGCCATCCTCATCATCTTTGTTAGCTACTTTGGCAGCCGGGTGCACCGACCAAGGCTCATCGGCATCGGGGGGCTCCTACTGGCTGCAGGCGCCTTCGTCCTCACCCTGCCGCACTTCCTCTCAGAGCCCTACCAGTACACCTCTGCCAGCAATGGTGAGTGGCCTCCAGCCTTGGCCTCAGGGGAGACTGGGGATGGTGGGCATCTCACAAATTTGATAGTGACATTCATGGGATGGTGCACACACTCTGGGCAGTACTGCCCTCTCCAAACAGAAAGACTTGTTGACTTTGTTTGGCTTCTCCTCAGAGCACATCAGAAGCTCAGAACATACTGGAATACATAGAGCTATTATATTCAATCCCTGGGCTGCAGCTGGTGGCTCATCTCCTCCTGCGATTCCCTGTACTTTCTGGCAGCAGTGACCCAAATTCCACCTACCTGGGGACACTCATGGGCAGTGCCCACAAAGAGTCCTCTCTCTTTGGAGGAAAAAGGATCCCAACTTGGATCATGATGAGAGCGTGAAATTTCTAGATACTTCATAGGGCTTCAGGACAGTCGGATATTTATCCTTTATCCAACTACAATGTCTACACACAGTCTACTCACTTGCTCCCCTTTAAACCCAGGGAAGGGCAGAAGAAAGATGTAGGATAAGGAGTTGGCTTTCAAAGATGTCTAGTTCCTTTCCCCAGGAACAGTTGGTTAAGCAGAGAGCTCTGACTCTGCTGCCATCTCTGCCTTCAGCCACTATGAGGCAAACATCTTTCATCTGTCATGCCCTTCCTCCAGATCATTTCTGTCTTGGAGCCAGCCAACCATTCTTATCCTCAAGAAACCAAGAGTCAACATAAACTTTGTCTTCTTTAAATTGTGTATGTGAGGTACTTTGCCAATGCATCTAAAAAGTGCCTGGTACATAACCGAAATCATATAATATTGTCCTTTTATGTGTGTGGCTTCCTTCATGTAGCATTATGTTCTCAAGATTTATACACACCATAGCTTGATCAGGATTTATTCCTTTATGGATGAACAATGTACTATTTATGCATATATCACATGTTGCTTACCTATTCATCTACTGATGGATATTTGGAAGTAGATGTATCTTCTTAGAAAGAAGTAAGACATTGCCTCCCTCCAAGCCCCTCACTTCTCCCTCAGAGGTTGCCCCTGGCCTGTAGTGGTATCCTTAACGTGTTGCTCATTTGGACTTCCTCCCTCTAGTATCCTATTTCTTTGCTGTCGGTTTTATTCTTTCTCCTGGTTTGAAAGTTACACACTATTAGTTACATTGCATTTTAAATATTTCTACAAAGGTATCATATGATTAAATTTGGCTAGATACTATATAGTTCTATACATTTTAATGCATTTACAGATTTATGTAATCACCACCACAATCGGTACAGAGCACACTTCCGTCAACTCCAAAATTCAATCCTGCTCTTCCTTCCTATTCATACTCTTCCCCAGCTCTGTAACCATGCTCTGCCTCTACCACTGTAGTTTTGTGATTTTGAGACTATCACGTAAATGGGGACACACAGCATACAGCCTTCTGAGATTGGTATAAACCTTTTCAATCCATCCAAGTGGTGTGTATCAGGTAGTACGGTACCCCTTTTTAAGTCCAAGTAGGATTCCATTGCATGCTTATGTCCCAGATCATTTGTGAACTCATCTATTGAGAGATACTTGGGTTGTATCCACTTCGTAGCCATTACTAGTAGAGCTGCTATAAATATTTGTGTTCAAGTTTTTGTAGGAGTAGAAGATTCAATGGGAAGCATTTCTTCATGTGCTCATTTGTCATCCAAATGTCCTTTGGTGTAAATCGTGTGTTCAAGTCTTCTACCCATTTTTTAAATTGAGTTGTTTTTCTTTTCATTGTTGAATTTGAGTTGTTTCTGCATTCTGAATACAAATTCTTTATTGGATATGAAATTTGAAAATATTTTCCCAGTCTTTAACTTACCCAGTGTATTCTTCTGACAATGCCATTTGCAGAGCAAAAATGTTCAATTTTAACAACGTCTAATTCATCATTTTTAAAAAACCTTTATGAGTCATGACTTTAGTACCACCTTGCCTAACCCTAGAACTGGAAGATTTCCCTCTGTCTAGTTTTAAGGTGTTAAAGTTTTACATTTACATTTAAATATATGATTATTTTGAGTGTTTTTACAAGGTTGTTTTTTCCTTTTTGTATAGATGTTAAATTATTTCAACATCATTCATCAAAAAGATTTATCTTTTATCTATATAATTAGTTCCTACCTTTATATAAAATAATCAATTGGGGTGAAGGATGTAGCTTAGTGGCAGAGGGATTGACTAGCATTGGTGAGGCCCGGGGTTTCTTCTGCAGCTGAGAAACAGATTGACCAAAGGTGTGTTCGTGTGGGTCAGTTTCTGGACTTTCTTTTCTGATCCACTGATCTGTTGTTCCTTTGCCAGTATCACAAGGTCTTGCTTGCTGATGCTTTATAGTAAATCTTAAAAGTACTATGACTCTTCCAATTCTATTGTTTTTCATAGTTGCTTTATCTATTCTAACTTACTTTCCTGTCCACTTAAGGTTTAAAATCAGCTTGTCTGTATTTACAAGAAAAACCCTTCTGCAACTGCAATTGGGATTGCATTCAATGTATGGGTGTATCTGAGGACAGTTACTTCGCTGAGTAGCTAGCCACAGAACACACAGTATGCCTCCCATTACACTTCCATTCAGTGTTGACCTATGATTTAACAAACTTCAAAGATGAATAATATCTAGAGAATAAAATAAGCATCCTAGAGTTTCAGTGTACACTTCCCTCTCCCATCTTCCATTTTCATTGGTCACTATTCTAGTCCTACCCATCTTTTAAAAAACATCACCACAGGGGTCATTGTAAAGTTTATTATTTTGCTACTTCTAGATAAGTCAGTGCTTGTTTCCGTGCATCCACAAGCTTGCTGGTTTCTTTATTCATGGTTGCTTTTTGCATCTCACCCACCTTGCTGATTCCATGTCTTTTTTCCTGCCATAACCCTTAGTGTCACTGAGTGTAGACCCTTAGTTACTTAGTGTAGAGTCTTAGTTTTACCTCCAGGTGAGAAAACTCTTGGAAAATGCCTCAGTTTTGCCTATAACCTTGAATTATAGTTTAATCACAAAATATATTAGCTACATTAAGTTAGTTTAAAGTTGTTTCTTCTCAGTGCTTTGAAGTTAACACACCTCCGTCCTCCAGCCCTTCTAGTTGGTGCCTGGACTTACTGATTAGTTTAATTTTCATGTCTTTTTAAATGTACCATTTTTCTTTCTATCTAGTTATACTTAAATTTTTCTTTTTTTCCTGATTGTTCTGCATGTCTATCATAAGTTTTCTGAGAATGAGTTAATTTTACTTATATGTTTGAAAGCTAATTGTGGGCTTTGCTTTGTGTTGTGTGCGTGTGTTTAAGATTAGATTTAAAAATTAAGATTTCTCCTTAATTCTGAAAAATTTTCAGCCAGAAATGCTCTTGAGATGGTATGGCCCTATTTTTTCCATCTTTTCTCTTGGAACCCATTTTGCACATGCATGTGTACATAAACGTGTGTCTATACATCCATGTCATTTTCATTTCCAGCTCTTTGTCTCTTAATCTCTCTTGCATAACTGTTAGTGCCTTGTTCATCTGTACTGCATCCTGGTGATTTCCTTAAAGTGCATCTTTGTCAGTAAACATCAAACCCATCCCTTACGTTGTACATTTTGATGGTTTTATATAGTTTGCTGGTTTCAAGAAGGTCTCATGCATGCATTTCAAATCTTTCTGCTCTAATTTCCTGATTCCTTGGTGTTTTCTTATGATTTCTGTTTCTCTTTAATGTTTTCTATTATTTTAAATATATTTATTTTTCAGTCTCTTTCAAGTGGTTCTATTAGCTCAAACTTGGGGAGTGCTAATCCTCATTTCTGTTTGCTCTTATTAAGTGAATCATCTCTTGGTATGTTCTCCAATGTTTGACCATGAAGCCATTTGTGCTACAATCTCCTCTGTAGAAATCGTGCATGGTCAGGGTTGGGAAATAGCTCTGCAAAGTAATTCTGCATTTGTGTTTACTCGGCATCCTGGGAACATCACCCACCACTTTGGCATTTGACTTTATGTTAATTTGGTGGCTTGGGAGAGCCTTGCACTTGTTTTTAAGGGATGTAGGAAGTGGTGGTGGTTTTATGATGAACAGTTGTGAAAGACTCATTCTTCAAAGGCTCATCTTTAGTCCCCTAAAAGAACAAACAATGAATGAACTATCCAGGGATGTGCTGAGGGAATAATTGATGCCAGTTTTCTAGAATACCAGGTTTTAAAAAAAAAAAAAAAAAGTACATAGAACAAGTTCAAAACATGACTTGGAATGACAGAGGGGGCTCCTTTATAGGTTGTGAGACCTGTACTGGAGAGAGAGAGGTGGCTAGAGTGAAAATGGAATCCAGACAGACAGTGATACACAGTGGCAGAATGTCTGCTAGGTTCTGGTCCTGGAAGCCTTTCTTCCAACTTGCTGTTAATCACCAGTGCACTAGTGATTTCCCCTAAGTGCTCTGTGGTCTTGGATCTGTTTGATCTGTTTCATGGCTGAGGTCTGCCTCAAATAAGCAGAGGATGAAGCCAGACCTGAGCCCCAGGTTCCTGCCCTATATCTTCTCCCTCTTGTTCCTGACCATGAGTTTGAGACCAGTTCTGGAAGACAGGCAGGAGGTGACCTTTCCTGACACATGGAGATTGAGCTAATGAAATCATCAAGGGAGCCTGGGGCACTGAGGCCAGGCCCAGAGCAGGGCACCTTGCCCGGCGCCACACACCATGGCTGTTCAGTCTGGCGGGTTGGCTCGCCATGGCCTGGGCCTGTGTCCCAGTGGCATTTGCTTTGCACACAGCAGCCATGGGAGGGTGGTTAGAGATGGGCTTCACTCTGTTCCTTATTAGCAATGGTCAGTCAGACTGAGTTTAGCTCTCCACAATCCCTCAACATCGGAGGACAACACTCTGCCCCGTCCAGTCTCAACCTCAGTGCTGTTAGCTAAAGTCGTCTGACAGAGGACTCCAGCCTACCTCCTGATCCTCAGCGGCATCTATCGACCAGAAGAGTGGGCTGTTTGGTCATGGTCAC